TTTTGATTTCAAATGACAGAACATCATGTATGTGTTGCTTCTTTGGGGCTTGTTTTCATAGACCTGGTTGCTTATTTCTCTCAAATCTGCCAACAGAGTGGGCGCAGTGTCTAATTGTAGCAGTAAGCTAACGAGTACTGATAAGCTTTATTTTGATCCAATGCTGCACAACTGAACTGATCCAATGCTGCTGTGAAAAAAAGAAGCTATATCCATGTTGGATAGAATATCCCATTTAAATAAAAAAATAACCTTAAGGAACAACTTGAACGCTTTTCTTCTCTTAATGCATTGCATAAAGATCGGATCGGGAAAAATCGGTATCGGTAAATTGTCAAAATCAAATGATCGGAATCGGATCGGGAGCAAAAAAAGGTGATCGGGACATCCCTACTGGCATTAGCATTATTATTAGCATTAGCCCCGCGAACCAACGCAGAGAGACTAACTTATGGCAACACAAAATAAAACATGGGAGCGGTGGAGATGAGGAGGTGTCGGCGTTCTGTTGATTTACTCGGAAGGCTTCATTAGAAGCTGCTGGGAGTCCCAGCAGCTTCTTCTGAAGCCAGTCCCTAACTCCGGGGACTTCCGGCTGGCAGTATACGCCGTGAAGTGGTTTGCAGCCTGCCAGTAAACCCAAAGCAGAAGAAGTGACGTCAGCAGCTTCATTTGCCTAATCTTCCCTCAGGGACTTATTCCGGTGTGAACGTGATCTGTACTAAGTGCTGGGAACTAAGTACGGCAAAGTACTTTGTGTGAAAGCGGCTAATGGAAAGGTTTCTTCACCATTTTATATTATTTACTGGTTTGTCTGAGTAAATCAAATCAAGATTTATTATAGCCCCAAATCACAAGAAATGCCTCAAAGCAAACAAAACAAAATACAAACGTCATAGCATAAAAATGATAGAAACATAATACATCAACATAAGGATTGCCATGTGATAAAAGCATGTGACTGAAGTGATGGTAATGATGAACGGAAACTAGGTGATGGAAATTAGTTTACAAGGAAGAGAGAGTTGGGTGGGAGTTTGCTTTTAAGGGAGTCAACAGGTGCTCGGAATGAAAACGTGATTCACGAGACACTTTCAGTACGTTTCCACCACAACATCCCCCAGGGTCCCAGCGTTACCTGAAGAGGGGCTTGGTGTTGTGCACGATGCCCTCGTTGGTGTGGTCGTTGGCGTTGGTGAACAGGACGTCCCAGTCTGCGGGCAGAGAGTCGGGGTCCACCGCGAAGCCGTGGTTCTGACTGGTGATGTAGCAGCGCCCCGTTCCCTTGTGGATGCACGGCTGGTTGTGGCCACGGTTACCATATCTAAGAGATGAGAGAGAAAGAATTACATATGTGGGATTATACTCTGGTTTGTTTTGAAGATTAACAGGAAAAGTTCAGATATTTTATTACTACTGTTTTCCGTTTGGTGTCGTGGATGGAAAGGTCCTAATGCCGACGAGTGCACATTATTTCTGGTAGTAGTTGTGTTTGTCGTATCATTCTGGGTTTTAATGGATACATCCTATACATTAATGCCAAATGAGACTTGATTATATTTCTAAATATCAGCCGTCAAAAACATTAAAAATGACAAATGACCACCAACAAACACATATCTGTCAAACCATACATTACTTTATTTGAAACAAACACCTGTGTTTCTATTTTAAAGAATTGTATTATCTTACAAGCATTTTGGGAGTTCTGTTACTTATAAAAGTATAAATCTTACAAACTACAAGTAGAAAATGCATTTTAATAATGTTATCTTTGTGGAAATGCAACATTTTTCCAATTGAGTTTTGAGAACAAACGATTTTTGAGTCAAACAACAAACATCTTAAACAAGCAACTTCCTGAGGGACACAAGTCCTTCAGATCTGTTTCATTTCAAAGATAGAATTGTACATAGTGTTGACATGCTAAATAATGTGTGTTTTGGCAAAAAAGGGCTCGACTCGATTGTATAACTGAAAAAACATTTAGATTGGGTTTCAAACTGAGCTCCAGGTAAAGAGACTGGGGTCCAATTATGAAATACCTGCAGCTTTTTAGAAGCAGCCCTGCCAATTATTGTATTATCTGCATTTCCACGCAATCACACAACTCCTGTGTTTATCGAGATGCCAACAACATTCCTACGCTCAGTGGGAACAGTTTCTGTCGGCTGTGACCTTCACACGGAGCCTGATAAAGCTCTGGAGGCTCACAGAAGTGACTCTGCAGCGAGGACAGGAGCGGCTTGTCTTGCATAGCGGATTGTTTGTTGAGCCTTTCTCATAACAACACAGCACCGCTCAGCCAGACTGCTGAGAACAGCACAAAGCCGCCGTTCACATCCCAACACACACAGAACAAGTGCGGGAATGATGTTGGTGTTTCAGGAGAGAGAAAAGGGATTTAGAAGAGGTTCCCTGGTTCAGGTCACCAAGGCCACATTTCTGTCTTTGTCCAGTTCTGAAAATCCTCTACACGCTTTGCAAGAGACCGACTGAAGCTCCAGATGTGAGTGCATAGCAACAGTATGCTTCAAATGAAATTGGACACTTTGCTCGTTAAAATAAATGTCAAAATGTAGTACAAATACTTCTGTGTGAACTCAGTTTTAAAAATGGCAGAGTGCACAGTTCGAGGTACTAACTTCATCTTGAAGGTCTTGGATCCGATGACTAGAGAGAGCAGCTGGTGTCCGAGGCAAATACCGAAAACGGGCTTTGGATGATCCACGCAGACCACCTTCCTCATGTTGTTGATGGTGGCCTTACACAGCAGGGGGTCCCCGGGGCCGTTACTGATGAACAAGCCGTCATAATCTAGAAAAGACAGAAAACAGAAACAATGATGCCTCCTTTATCAATAATAGAGTTTGGACTACAACTGTGCCCCACTGCTGACATACAGTATGTGAACTGCCTGTTATTGGCTTTTCTGGTTATTTCACACATCTAACTTTTAAGTTGGTAGTATTTAAAGCTGCATAAACAATTATTTCTTTAATAACTTGTTAAAAAAAATTATATGAGAGTTTAGAGGCGAGGGTTTAATGACTGACTCGAGTAGAATGATTCAATCACTAATGGAAGTTTCTTTAAAACAAACAAAAGCACAGCTGTCCCATATTGTGGTTATAAGTTCTGCAAATGTAAACCATAATTATGCAGATATCTTGCAAACCATTGGTCGTTGATTTTAAAGCAACCCTTCACCAGTGTGCTCCTCCATATCCGGCACCTTAGTACAATTTAAGTCCATTATTAGCGGTGTGTGACGGACCTTTGCTGTCCAGCGGGTGATCCCAGGGTACGACAGTGACGCAGGCCCCCCGCTCAGCCAGGCAGCGGATCTGGTTGTATTTGATGCCGCAGTCCACCACTGTGATCCTCAAACTACCGCTGGGGTTGAAAACTCTGGGCTCCTGGAGACAATCAGAGGAGAAGTAATCAACAAAAACATGTCTTGGTGTAAAAAAAAGGACTGTTTGCAGTATAGTGTACACGTGTTAAGATAAGAACTACTTTATTGATCCCAATTTGGGAAATGTTTGTGCTGCAGCAGCATAAAAAGACATAACAACAACAACTAAAAGACTAGAAATAAACAAGAAAGTAGAAAATATACATAGGCGCTTTCACACCAAGTACTTTGCTGTACTTAGTTCATCAGAACTCTTTACTTCTCATGAACTAAGTACACGTACGCGTTCACACCGGAATAAGTTCCTGAGGGTGGATTAGGTAAATGAAAGCGCTGACGTCACTTCTTCTTCTTCTGCTTTGGGTTTACTGGCAGGCCGCAAACAACTTCACGCCGTATACTGCCACCCGAAGTCCCCGGCCGGAAGTCCCCGGAGTTGGGGACTGGCTTCAGTAGAAGCTGCTGTTCCGAGTAAATAGCCAGAACGCCGACACCTCCTCATCATCTCCACCGCTCCCATGTTTTATTTTGTGTTGCCATAAGTTATTCTCTCTCCGTTGGTGTGCTGGGTTAATGCTAATAATGCTAATGCTAATAATGCTAATGCCAGCAAATAAAATGGCGGCTTCACAAAACTTTTTGGGAGTTTTACGGGGCGTAGTTTGCAATCCGCCCAGCCAATCAGAAATAGGAACCTTTTTCTCCCATGAAAGTACCTGCTCTCTAGCAAGGGTTAAAAAGGTTCTCATGAACTAATCTTTGTTCCGGATTTTTTTTTCTGTGAACGCGACATTTCGGAACAATATCGGAACTAAAGTGGGAAAAGTACTGCGGTGTG